ACACTGGAAGAGCCAGACATGGCGAGCAAGAGGGCGAGGAGACGTCCGTTTCTCGGTCGTCGGCTCGGCGGGTGACTTGGCCCGACAAGACGGCGAGGCAGCACGGCGAGGGGGCGGGGCGCCGAACTTTGTCTCCAAGTTTCCGGTTCTGGGCGCAGCGGCTCCACCCTCGGCGCGCATGCGCACGCCGCCCCGCTGAGCCCTCGCCGGGCGGGAGGACGAGCGTGGAGGAGAAGGGAACCCCGTGGCGGGAAGGGGCGGAGCGGACGGTGGGCCCGGCCGGATGCCCACCTTCTTGTACTTTCCCTCAGAGGACCTTCCGGAAGAGGTAAGGGAAGACCTGTGGTTTGCCTTCCAGACACGCGAGGAGCTCCGAAGAGACCGATGTGGGAAGTCAGACGCTGGTGGCCGGTGGCCAGGATCCGTCGGAGTTTGAGGCAGGGATGAAGTATAGGGAGGGTCCGTCGGAGGCATCGGAGCTAGGTTTCGCCGGCCCATTCACAGAAAGTGACCCGAGGTAGTCCAACGGGCGTCCCATCTGCTGTCCGCCTTCCCACCGTCAGACCCTCCGTGGCAGAAAAAGCTCGATCCTTGTAACCGACTTAGGGAAAACGGAATGGGCTAGGAAGCTCTAGTCTAGAAGCTAATTGGGGGAAAGTGCTTCTGGATCCCTACCTCCAGAACCGACTGCAACAGAGTGTGAAGAAGCTAAGGTCTTGGCTGTAGATGACACTTGTCATCGCAGTTATCCATTCCTAATGGGGCACTCATAATTGTTGCACTTTTTAAAATAAAACGTTTTTGTGTTTTCAGAAAATGTGCTTGTTTTTTATTTCAGCTGTGATTTGTTATCCCTTGCTTGAAATGGATCACCAAAAAGTACTCCCAATCACAATAGGATCCAACTGAACAAAATCAGCCCAAGCCAGTGCATCTTCCACCCAAGACAGTTTATTGTTTGTTTCTGTTGTTGTTCGCTACAGCCAGCCCTGACTCATGGTGACCCTAGGAATAACAGTGAAACATGACTCAGTACTCCATCTGCGTTCCTGTTTGAGCCTATGGTTATAGCTATCTCAGTCCATCTCATTGAGGGCCATCCTCTCTTTCAATGAGCTTATAATGTTCTTCTTTGAAGACTGGTTCCTCCTAAGGACATACCCATATAAGGTGACCAGAGTTTAACATTGGTAAAGCGGGACAAAAGCGGAACACCATTGATAAAACTCATGTCCTGGCGAAATAGCCACATGGCAGCTGAAAACCGTATACCCCAGCTTGTCGTGCATTCTTTCAAAAAATCGGGACTTTTTTAAAACGCCGTGGGACGCAGGAAAAATTGTTAAAAATCGGGACTGTCCCGCCAAAAGCGGGACTCTGGTCACCTTACCATAGTACCTCAGACAAAACTGTGTCATTCTCCCTTCTGGCTATACTTCTTCCAACATAGAGATCTTCATTCTTCTAGCTCTTCATCATATAGTCAACACCATAATTTAAAAGGCATATTTTATATACTGTCATCACTTGTGTCTAGCTCTCTCATGAGGAAATTGAAAATACTGTGGTGTGGGTCAGCACACCATGGTCGTCAAAGTGACATCTTTGCTCTTTTCACTTAAAAGAGATCCTTTGCATCAAAGTTGCCCAATGAAATATGTCCTTTGATTTCCTGAGTTCTTCCATGAATATGATTGTAGCCCCAAGGAAAGTGAATCCTTGATATTTTCTATCTTAATTTATCATGATGTTGCTTATTGACCAATCCAGAAGGTCATTGTTGATGTTGAGGTATGAAGTTAATTGAAGGTTGCAATCTTTGATCTTCAACAGTAAATGCTTCAAGTCTTCATTGCTTTCCACAAGCAAGGTTATGTATGTCTTATTATATGTTGTTCCGTGGTCGATGCCAACTCATATGAGATTTTCAAGACTATAAATCATTGCAGAACAGATAGCCTCAACATTCTCCTATTGAGTGGCTGGTGGTTTTGAACTGGCCACCTTGCAGTTAGCAGTCCAACACTTACTTGACAGCAGTACCAAAAGTGCTCCACATCCACAAATAGCTGGTTATGTCTTCCATTGCTGATGCCACATTGTTAAAGCCTAGCTTCTCTAATTTGTTCAGCATACAGATTAAATAAATATAATGAATAGATACAACCCTTTCTTGACATTAAAACATGCAATATTCCCTTGTTCTGTTCAAACAACTGCCTCTACAGATGTTTTACACAAGCACAATGAAGTGTTCTGGAATTCCTTTGCTTTGACATGCTACTCATACATACTGGATGATCCACACAGTCCACAGCATCCCAAACTTATTTGGCCTAGTTGCCGTTGCCCCCTTTTAGGGAAAAAACATAAATTACTCAGCTTGTCCCTGGCAATTAAAATAACTGTTTGTACTATGGCCCATAATCCAGGATAAAATGTAGATACCTGCTTTTGCAGTACCCCTGGATCATTCTGGAACCCTCTAGAAAGCAGTATCACCCATTTTAAGAAACACAGATTAACATCTTTCTGTTATTCTCAGCTTTTAGGTAAGATCCATCTGATATGAATGATGATAGCCCTCATTCTATGTCTTCATCTGAATCGGGCTTAAATTTCTGGCAGCCTCTTGATGTGCTGCAATCACCATTTTTGAATTATCTTCAACAGTTTACTTGTGTGCGGCATTGATATGTGTTCAGTAATTTCTGTATTCTTTTGTATCAACTTTCTCTGTAACAGGCAAGGATATCAAATATTCCAGGATGAGTCAATTGACTCATTGGCAGTAAGTCTAATTTTGCAGTTTGAGTTAGTTAATTGTGCCAGCCTGGCCGATAATCACA